TTGCATTTGACCACACTGTGATGACGCATTGGTGTGGTAGACGGAAATGACGTGGACATATCTCATGAATACTATTCGAAAGTGCAATTACTAATAGAAAGCATTTATTACGAAACGCCGAAATAACGTATATTTGGTCTTAACCCCCACTCTGTCTATTGTGGTAATTTGAAGACTGTACACACTTTCTATCATACTAAACTGGTCACTAAATTTAACAAGTTTTTCTGGCCTTTACACTGTAGTCTGCATGAACGTAGGCAAGCCTAAATATGTTTCCATTGTATACAGCGCCACCAGTGGCTGTTCCATGCTTTATGCGTTCAGTTCAACACTACAGCAAATACAAGGCCAAATCAAAGACATTAGAGAAGAGTGTCTTTGGTCAAATATAGTTTTTATTCGGTTGCCCTGTCTCTCATGTAAGCTTAAGGAGTCCAAAATATTCGATATGTAACGGTCATCGTACTAACATGTTAATAATACAAGAATATTCGAGTATTTAAATTCTCTTGTGGCCACAGGCAAACTTCATTTTTTTTGTCAATCACCTCACTATGCACTGTCATTTTCCATCAGTTGTTTTGCCTAAAAATGTACCACATAACGTAAAATAAAATGTTATACTAGTAGTTTGAGAGAATTTGAAGACTATTAAAATGAGAATTATGTTTATGTAACTCTCTATTTTAATAATACTAATGACAATAATACTAATAATACTACTAATAATAATAATGTCATAATGCTAAGCTATATTAATGAGGAAGTGTTGCCCATAATGTATTTAAGTTTTGACTCTCCATCCATCAAATGGAAATTAACAGTTTTTATTTCAAATTGAGTCACAGGACTACCGCCCTTTAAAGTTTACAGTGAAGAATTATAAGTATCCCCGTAGCTTTTTCTCATGCAAGAACTCACCAGCTGTAACGTAGTCGCTGATTGGCTACAAGCGCTGCCAATCACTTGGTCAGTGTATAATGTTATTTACTCCAGAGTTGTTGATAGTCTAGATTGACTCTATATTATGGAAGTTATCATCTGATAGTGGATTTCTCATATATACTCACTCAGTCCCGGAAATCACAGACGTGATGTTTTGATCATAATATTAATAGTAATAATATTTATTGACTCAAAATATATCTCGGAGAAGATAAAAATGAACAGCAGCGAAAAAAAGCAAAGAAGAATATAGTAAACACAAATTTAATAAAAATACAGAAAGAAACAATTATCAACAACAATCTGGTATGGCCTCAATGAATTAACAAAGTCTGATACCATAATCATAAAAAATAATTTTTTATTGTCTGTACTGTTTTCAAAATTATTGATGTTTTTTTTTTCCATTTTATTACATAAGTGCATTATTTATTACCTTGTTAGTTGGGTAATTCATAGCAAAGTGTGATTTCTCTTCAACTTTTCAACATTTGATACGTGTTGTAGAATTAATTGTTGTCTTTTTATGTCTAGCATTTCAATTTTGAGACAATTGTTACTAACTCTGCATCTAGTTAAGGTCATATAAAACTGAACATATGTGATAACAAAAAGATAATTTTGAGCTTTAAACTTTCAGCTTTCTGAATGTTCCCGACTTATTCGAGGAACCAATGTGCATTCTATTGTCATTATGAAATTTCATTTCCACTGTTTTTCAAATAATTTATTTAATTTCCCGTGAGCGTCATTGATGCATAATGTTGAATAAATCTCACTTGAAGATATAATTTACTTAAATTCAACTGATATGCACGAGAAACACACAGATAAAGCAAAGTTAACTCGAGATGCGGTGTATTCTGCTGTACTTTCACGAGCGAAGCGAGTGAAAGTACGGCCGCAGGATACACCGCATCATCACTCGTGAAAATAACTTCCATACGCAACGAAAGCCACGGGGAGGGTGTTGGGTTCTGTCATATTATTACCCCGACGAAAGCCGGCATTCCACCACAACCAATCATAAATATAACTGGTCACAAAAACGTGTCAAGTTTACATCACTACGATACTCACATTCAACTGGCATTAGTGTTGCTGGATACACCCAGCGACACCCGCGATGCCAGCTGACTGTGATACTGTCTCACAACGGAAGATTATCAGCGCATTTCAGATATTCTTAGTTGAGCTACGCCAGAATCTGGAACTGTAAACCAAACTGCTTCTTTTCAAGCAATTGTTTCTCGTTCACCGACTACTATTTTTAACAACTGTGAAGTCAACGTGCCTCTGCCTGTGGCAACAGCACCCCTACAGCATCAGCTCCAGGAAAACGTCACTCCGTTATCAGACGGTCAGTAAATGACCAACTTAGCTGGACTGTAGTGTCCATGTTTAAAAAAAGAAAGTTTATAATGAGTTTGTATTTATTACCGTTAAAATATTGTTATAAATTTACGTTCATTTGCTG